TTTGAATGTTATGAAAATTATCGCAGAAAGAAGTAGCTTGCGTTCAAGGAAGTGATTGGAAAACGGTCCCACTACGCTAATCATTGTTGGGGGGGAGCACGTGGACGTTGAGCTTATGTCACAGTTTCGGCGAGGAAATGCATTTATTAATTGAATGGTTAAGTTAGACGATTTATAGCGGCAGATGTCTTGGATTTAAATCCCTCTTTCTCGACAACTTTCATTCCTCTCCTATTGAATTTTTTTTTCAAAAAAGAAAACAAGAGCTTAATATTATTGTCTTCAACCGTCAGATGACCTCACACTCTGTTGGATCCAGGTGTATGGATCTGGCCGGCCTCGACACGATTTTAACATTTAACCATGCTCCTTCACAAATCCCCAAGGCCCTGACGTGGAAACAGATCAGCCAAAACCACACAATAACAGCATATTGAAAAAAAACAATCGCAAGTAGTCTCACGGGAAGTGGGAAGCCCACTAAATTAAAGTCCAGTAATTACAGAACACGTGTCCCCATTTGTTCAAAATTTCTCCCCCCATTTTTGAATTTTCCACAGCTCACAAATTCATCCATAATTGCACTACTCCCAAACAGGACACGGACTTGGACTTTTGCATCTGTCCACTTTCCAATTGGCAAGTTGTCACTAGCATTCTGGACTGCCGAAATGCCGTGGATCCGACGTGGCAATCTGATCCGCCGTCAACTTTATCGACCCATTCAACTTATCTCCTCTTCTTCCACCGTCGGATGCGCGTACCTGCGGCAGTTATTTATTTATTTATTTATTTTACCCTCCCTACCCTCCTAACTCGCCCATATACGAAGCACAGTTTAGGGGCACCATTGTCACAAACAAATGGTACCTCTATCAATATCAATCTCAAGTACTGCTAAATCTGCCACCACTATAAATTGGCAGCTCCTCTCTTCTTCCCTCCAATTCACTTCACCATTAATAACTTCAACTTCTCTTGGCTTTGTTCAGCGACTATCGGCCCCTTCTAGCTTTGCTGTTGCTAAGTACTACCACTATTCAACGGTTCCTCGAATCTTAGCATACAAGGTATGCACAACATTTTAATTCTTCAGTATAAGTAATTTTGTATGCTGCATCTTGATGATGTGATTAGTGAGTGTTAGATGCTACCCGAGAGTGATGCACTTTTGGATTTGAATTTTGTTTTCAGGGAACTGAAGCAGAATTTGGAACGAAAAGGAAAGAAGAAATGACGATCACGCCGGCAGTACGGATTGCGGAAAAGAAGCTGGTGGTGAAGGACAGGACAATACTGACGAACGTGCCGGACGATGTGATTGCCACGTCGGGGTCGGCGTCAGGACCGGTGGAGGGCGTGTTTTTAGGCGCTGAATTCCATAAGGATAACAGCAGGCACGTGGTGTCGCTTGGGACATTGCGTGACGTACGATTCATGGCCTGTTTCAGATTTAAATTATGGTGGATGGCCCAAAAGATGGGAGATAAAGGGCGCGAAATTCCACTAGAGACCCAATTTTTGATGCTGGAAACCAAAGACGGGTCGCATCTTGAACCCGAGAATGGTGGAGACGATGATAAGAAGATTGTTTACACGGTTTTTCTCCCGTTAGTCGAAGGACCATTTCGAGCGGTTCTGCAGGGGAATTCCCAGGATGAGCTGGAAATGTGTCTAGAGAGTGGGGATACCGACACTGTCGGATCATCTTTTACGCATTCGCTTTATATTAGTGCTGGCACTGATCCTTTCGCCGCCATCACCGATGCCATTAGGGCCGTTAAATTACATCTCAAGAGTTTCAGGCAGCGGCACGAGAAGAAGTTGCCTGGAATTATTGATTACTTTGGATGGTGCACATGGGATGCTTTTTACCAGGAGGTGACTCAGGAAGGAGTTGAGGCTGGCATTGAGAGCCTTTCCGCAGGCGGGACCCCACCCAAGTTTGTCATAATTGATGATGGATGGCAATCTGTGGGAGGAGATGAAGCTAAGGAGGAGAAAAGAGATGATGTGGAGTCTGAGAAGCAGCAGCCGCCCTTAATGAGATTAACTGGGATTAAAGAAAATTCCAAGTTTCAGAAGAAGGATGATCCCACCGTGGGGATCAAGAATATAGTGAATATTGCTAAGGAGAAACACGGGTTGAAATATGTGTACGTGTGGCACGCGATTACTGGATATTGGGGTGGGTTAAGGCCTGGAGTGAAGGAGATGGAGGATTATGGGCCAATAGTGAAGTATCCCAGTATCTCCAAAGGAGTCATGGAGAACGAGCCAGGGTGGAAAACCGATCCAATTGCCGTGCAGGGGTTGGGTCTGGTGAATCCCAAAAGTGTCTACAAGTTTTATAGTGAATTGCATAATTACTTGGCTTCTGCTGGGGTGGATGGGGTAAAGGTGGATGAGCAGTGCATATTGGAGACTCTTGGTGCTGGTTTGGGTGGTAGAGTTGAGCTGACCAGGCAGTATCACCAGGCTCTTGATGCTTCCATTGCTAAGAATTTTCCTGACAATGGCTGCATTGCTTGCATGAGCCACAACACTGATGCACTTTACTGGTATGTTCCTGGCCTTTTGTTCGTACTCCGAAATTTACTTTCAGTTTCTGGGTAGCTCTATTATCTGATTTGTTATTATACTTAGTAAATCGATCGTAAGGATTTCTTGTCAACAGAGCCCTACTTTAGCTGATTTAGGAGAGGAAATAAATATAAGACGCCTCCGATGTATGCGGCACTTTTAAATTATTGATTCGGTTATCAGTATTGAGGATTTCAGGAAACATAACAATCTTTTATGCCTGGGTAAATCACTTGGTAGGCAGAATTAGACACATCACATTGAATCAAATATACTCAGGAGTAGTGGGTGTTCAAATTTGGGTGCTCTTATCATCTGCTCTTATCATCTGATGGTGTTTGTCCTCATGGTTCATGAAACAGTTCCAAACAGACGGCCATAGTGAGGGCGTCGGATGATTTCTTTCCGCGTGATCCTGTAACGCATACCATTCATATTGCTGCAGTTGCGTACAACAGTGTTTTCCTCAGTGAATTCATGCAGCCTGATTGGGACATGTTCCATTCCCTCCATCCAGCTGCTGAGTATCATGGTTCTGCCAGGGCCATCAGTGGTGGCCCTATATATGTTAGGTGAGATTTGTTAGTGTAGCCACTACTCATCCTTTGTTTGTTAACGACACACTTTCTTTCCGCATTGGACTAAATCTTCATTCTTTTACTGTCACAGTGATGCACCAGGGAAGCACAACTTCGATCTCCTCAAAAAGCTCATCTTGCCTGATGGTTCAATTCTTCGAGCCCGCTTGCCTGCTCGGCCTACCAAGGATTGCCTTTTCTGTGATCCAGCCCGTGATGGTGTTAGGTTAGTTTTTTTCAATTTCACTGTGTCTTTAGTAGTATTATGTTTGTTTCTCTTGTATTTCCACTCCAAAATAATTGTTATGTTTCTTGTAAACTAAAATGTGATTAGAAGCTTCAAATTCTCACTTACCTTTATCTTGTTTCAGCCTCTTGAAGATATGGAATATGAACAAATATACTGGAGTTCTTGGGGTATACAACTGTCAAGGTGCAGCATGGAATACTGTTGAGAGAAAGAACACGTTCCATCAAACTAAATCTGAAGCCATAACGGGCTACATTAGGGGCCGTGATGTCCATCTTATAGCTGAAGTTGCCATGGATCCTGAATGGACTGGAGATTGTGCCATCTACGGTCATTGGAGCGGTGAACTTCTTACTTTGCCATATAATGCAGCATTGCCTGTCTCTCTCAATGTCCTCCAGCATGAAATATTTACAGTTACACCAATCAAGGTCTTTGCTCCTGGATTTAGCTTTGCGCCTATTGGTCTCATTGACATGTTCAACGCTGGTGGAGCCATCGAGGGAATTAAATATGATATCAAGGATGGAGCTCAGTTATCTGAAGTGGAAAAAGGATATCAAGGGGAAGGTAACGCCTTTGCAGGAGAGGGAGTTGAGAACTTGAGCATTAGAGTGGTTGCTGTTGTCCTAGTGGAAGTGAAGGGATGTGGCAGATTCGGTGCTTACTCATCTACTAAGCCAAGAAAGTGCACTGTAGGATCAAGTATGATTGATTTTGCCTATGATTCATCCTCTGGATTGGTCACCTTTAACTTGGATGATATGCCTTCTGAGGATCAAAAAGTCCACAATGTAGAGGTGGAATTATAGATGCACTGCTCTTGGTGAGACCTGAGCATGATGATGCGCGAGCTTAAGGTGCTATTGCTATTAGTGGCATGCGGATGAAAATGTACCATGATACAGTATCTGAAAAAGGCTCGCGGGATCCAACCTAATAGCCAGAGGGGAGGTCAAGCTCAGATTAATCATCTGTTGTCATGAATACTGTGCTATTTTTTGCTGCAATTTCTTCCACTTGCATAAAGTTGCAGCCCCTGGCTCTTGTTTAAACTTAGATCGATGTCAATTCAAACGATGCTGAATATATCGTTCTCTTTGGTTTCTAATAGTATAAAATGATCTCACGTTACTCCAATGTGATGCTAACCATGAGAACGGAGACAGGGCTACATTTTTCCGTAGCTGCAAAAGACTCTGTACTTTGAGCGCGAAAAACTAGAATTCTTAGCAAAATGATGTCCCGTCCCCTTGAAAAGTTTAGAAGCTGTCCAAATTCAGTAAAAACAGTAATTGTTAAGATCCACTTAAAAGATTAGAGTAAACGAGCCAAGCTGTTCGTTTTTTATTGACGCAAAATTAGCGTTCCACATTGAGAAGTCAACATACGAGACCAAACAGATGAACCTTAACAGATGCCTGCTTTATTGACAACCCCAGTAAAACTTCCTCAGCAGTTGCAAAATTGGAACCTTCTTTTGCTCTCATCCTCAACTTCATTCATAATGGAACCTAAAGCAGTGCAAACTAATTTCAAAAGATACCATCCACCAGAAGAAAAGAGAAGACGGGGATTAGAGCAGCAGTACTTCAAAAATCTCAGCAAGGCATAATATAATTTCTTGGACTAGGAAAAGGGAACTACCGTATGTTGTATGTACAAAATAGAAACCGCATATTATACTTCTCTGAAATGTATACTTCACAATTATGAATAGAAAAAAGGTGTACTTTACTTCCCTTCCTCCCCTCCCAATTGTTTTGACATTATTATACTTCTCTGAAATGTATACTTCACAATTATGAATAGAAAAAAGGTGTACTTTACTTCCCTTCCTCCCCTCCCAATTGTTTTGACATTTGAAGAGGCAAGACTAGATCAAGAGCTCAAGCGCTATGATGATATTGACATCCTCAACCTTTCACAAGGGTTCATCAATTGTCGACAAGGTTCTATTCCTGAATCAAGAAAACATCCCTTTGAATAATGGGGATAAGCATCATATGCTGCTCCTCAATCCATGCGACTCGTCATTCGTCGAAGTTTGCCTTGTCATTAGAATACCAAAACTGCCCTACAACCTCAGTCTGTGCTTTTGAAGTTTTTGTCATCCTGTTATTTATCATCTTTGCCTTCATCTTCAAATTCAGGTAGACATAGAAGCTCTGCTTCCAATTCATTGCCAAAGTTCTCATCATCATAACCATCATCCTGCTCTTTAATTTTCCCAAAGTCTTGCTCAGGTATAAAGTTGTCCAGTTCGTTTCCTGCAAAGTTGTCATCACATCTTTGCCGTTTAGAATGCCTATTTGTTTCCTGTTCTCCAGGCGGCAGGCTCCCAAGTAAATAAGACTTTTCTGTGGAACCAGTGAGCCGTGCGAGCTGGTTAGATGTAATGGATAGAGGGCCCATGCCTGTTTGTTGATAGAACAACCCTTTCTCATTGTTCCAGTCTTCTGCAGTCTTCTCCACTACATCCCCAATCAATTGCTTATTTTCCATATTGTGCTCAATGCTGTGGACATCTATAACCTCACCAGCCTCTGCGACAGGAATTTTGAAAGGATAAGAGTCAACTGAAACATAAAACCAATAGAAAGCAATGAAAGGAAACAAAGTGACTCATGACAGCAGCAAGAACAAAATACGCCTTCGACGACCCCAGGCCCAACCCCAAGACAAAGAGAGAAGATATAAGAGGGAAATAGAAAAATGAAAAATGGACCCATGACTAAAATTTGTAATGAGAAAGGTTAATAAGTTAAAAAGCACAAGAAAAAGTGAGAAATGAGAGAGAATAAAGAAATCTGTGAGCTAGCTGAAAATTCAACGTGAAATCTGTCACTTGGCAAAAAGAGCTGAATTTGCAGTTTGAAACCTATGTCCTCTTTGTGTAGTGTATTAGAGAAAATATCAACTTTGATTAATCACAACTAGATGAAAGCTTAGGAACATAAAGGTTAACTTTCTTGATTGTTCTAGAGGAAAAAAAAAAGTGGAATTCAGTCCCGTGCTTCTTCCCACTGTATCCTCAGATTTGCAAATACAGCTAAGACTTGATATTCTAAGCAAATACTTCTTCCTTATGTTAAACATTTTCTTATTTCCTTGTAAAATTATGTGGAACAAGTATGGTTCTTACAAACAAAATTTATCATTGCTTTTGCACTAGTGTACACAGATGACAAGCATCAACAGGTCATGGAAATGGACTCATCCACACCACTACATACAAAATGTTAGGTAGAATGATCTAAAAACGTACAAATTGATGAAGATACCTTTGATAATTAGTTCCTTAGCAGCTGCATATTCTGATGATTTTCTTTTGAGCAAATCAACATCAAGCTCCATTCCCTGGAACACATGAAATGTTGTAGAAAACACAGCAATGAGGCAAAATCATAGTAAAATGGGATAGAGCAAAATTTTAAGAAAATAAACCTAAAAACATTACACATTGTTGTAACAGAGATTTGGAACCGTTTATGACTACAAAAACCAAAAGCAGTCCACAGTTACAATCATATAATTTACACACCCAACCCCAAAAGAGTGAGTGTTCTTCTCAGTATTGTTGCATTTTCATAAAAATTACAAACTAATAAACGAACAAACAGTTCTATTGATTTGATACCAAATATGCCTGAAGTAGCCAACACCTCGATTATATTACCATTCTGTGCATATCCAAACCAATAAAATTCTCTATATCAATTTCATTAGAGGGCCTTTGTCTAAAGATATCTAACAACAGGTCATTGAACTTACCAAGTCCATGTGGATGAAGTCTTCAATCCGCGTATTAGCAAATAACCTGTCGAACCACAAATGTTAGTAAGGCTGTCCAAAAAAAGGTCAAATAAGGAGACTGAGATACTAAGTAATCTCTAACAAAACAAGAGGAAAAAAGCAAAACAGATTAGCAATATACTTCTTGTATGCTACTTGAACACGTGCATTCTGAATGTCTGAGACTTCATTTACCATCTCTGTTGCAGAGCCATCAGTTATATCCACAAATCCAAAAAGGAACATATTCCTCTGTAGCATATGTTTTACTAAAGCAGAAACCACTTTTATGTCCTTTTCTTTAGCACAGACAATGATGTTCCTAAGCTCCTTCAATTCACCTGTTCAAAGGAAAAGTAAGCATAGTTAGAAACATGTGATTGTACTGTAATTTGTTTTGGAGCACTCCTAACTTCCATTCCGGCCAAAAAACTGATGAGCTTGTCCCTTTTCAGTATAGCAATACCAGGAGAAAATTGCAGTCTGAAAGCAACTTTTACCTTACGAACAACTTGAAAAGAGTTACCGTCTTAATACTTAAACACAGTTTTCAAGAAAAGAAGTCTAGAAAGTTTCATATAATCTTGTTTTTCATTTCGGAAGCCATGAAGCTTTAAAAGGAAAACAAGATTTTAAGGCTCTAGAAGTCAAAATCCCAAACATCTGCAGCAGAAAGATGCTAATAGAGATGCACATACATGGAAATTACTGATAGTGCTTCTAAAGCATGGTAGATATAGGACAGAACATTGACAATTGCAATAAATTGATCTAAGAAAATCAATCAAGTATGATATATTTGATGAAGTTCATTTGTCACCAAGAGAATTGCAGACATACGTAGACATAAATAAATCTTGAAAGGAGGCTTGAATGGTTGAGTCTCAAATAAGCAGTAAAGGCAATAAAGCCCACCCAGTCTGTGTGAAAGGGAATTTCCAGACACCATGTATCCTGCATAAAATAAAAAACAAGAGAGATAAGTCCAAGATGACAAAATTTGCCCTTGTTTCCAATTGAAGAAGAAAAAGTGCATGATTCATGTATTGGGATCCAGAAGTTGCATGTATTAATATCTGAAAAGTTTCACATCAGCCACTTGCTTAGTCAGTGGTTTTGCAGTTTGGCTCAGGGGAACAAATAAGATTTTCATGACATTGAGGTTGGCAAGTTTAAGCACCCTGAACAAGGAGCCAAGAGGGATTTTTTATTTTTTTTTAAGGGGGAAGAAGGGGGAGTGCTATTTATAGAACTGACAGAAGTATCAATGTATAAAAGCTTTGGGAATTCCATGTCTACGAGGCTTAGATACATGTTTCTCTGCTTATTGAAAGTGATCATGTCTAGCACAAACATCATATATATAAATGCAATTTCATTTAATCATCATGAAATACAAGCATGATAATGATAGACATAACTCAAAAATTAATTATTGGCTATTCCAACCACCAACCAGTATTTGAAGAAAAAAAATAGAAAAAGGAAAAAGATTCTGGGCCAAGCTTAATTTACTGAATGCCAGCCTATTGCGATCAGTCATGTTCAAGCAGCCTCTTCACCCCATGCCGGAAAAACATACATACATTTATCTGAATCAATAATAAACGAGAGGGCTAGTTCAAGGCACAGGCAGAAGAGCAGGTCAAGGAGTATATATACCAATGGAGTGGGCGAAGAGCGACTGCGTAAAGCAAGCCTGGTTTGTCGAAGGACTGGCCTCAAAGATGAAAGAGAACTTTCTTGAACGCCAAATTGCCTTCAATTCTGCAAATTCAGTTGATCCACCCTATGCAAACATTAGGACAAACCGACCCCCATTATGAAAATGAAAGAGACAAACTTTTTTAAAAAACCAAATATTACTGCTTAAAAACATAATTAACACCAGTTGAATAATGGAAGAAGTAACTTCTTGACTGAGCAAGATTTTTACCTGAGCAAATTCACTGATAAGCTCATCAATGTCTAGCTTGAATGGCTTCAGGTCCGTCATCATCAATGCTCAACCATCTAACTCACTCCTAACAATTAGTCTCTCCACAAATAATCAATCATCCCATCACTTGAGGGCAGCCCCCCAACCCCTAAAAAAGAAAGGAAAAAAAATCACGTAACACATGTATATATACTTATTAAAAACCAACAAAGATGAGTTGGGAGAAAGGAGGAGAATAAACTGAAGGGTTGGAGAGAGTCCTCAAGTTTTGAAGTCGAATAATCGGCACGGTGATGAAAGAGGAGGAGGGGGAGGCTTAAAAATAAAAAATAAAAAATAAAAACCGTAATGCTGGCGGATAGCCGTCGAATATTCCAGCTAGTTTGAGAAGTGGGCTGGGATGGACTGCAGCCCAACACCAAGTCTTAAGCTTTTTCTTTTGGGCCGCTGGAAGCAATCCATTTTTAAAACAATTAACCCAACAGCTTATCCCTCATCATCTAATTATCCAAGAATTGTACAAACGCCTTCTTATTATTATTAACATATGTATAGAAGGGTGAATGCCAAGCCTCAAGAGTGTGTACTATTGGTGATGTGGCCAAACATGATTGGGTGGAGAGTGTTCGTCCAATTTCATCTGCTCTTCTCCAATTATACGTTGCTTTTTTCCTCCTCCTGTTGTATTCCCGTTCGGTTCCATTTTGGTTGTTTCACTTATTTAGTTATTCTTTCTTAGCAGAGGACTGGGACTATAAGGCCTCGCTTTCAATGATATATATAGGACTACAATATAAATATAGGACTAGAACTAAGACTGCAAGATTAATGTAGCCTTGATTGATGATCCAAAGAAGAGAGTGCTAAGAGTAGTGGTTATGACACACTGTGGTTGATTGTAGCAGGTGTGATATGTCTTTTTGAATGACAACGGTTAGATGGTCTTGGAAACTTAAAATGGCAATTTTGCCCTGAGTATTATGCTGATATTACAAATTCTGCATTAGAGGCCCTGTTGCTTTGAATGGCTTGTTTGTGTAAAATTGTTTTTGTAAGTGCTGTCTAATGCTGACAACGAATGACTTTCTGCTCTTTCTTCTTTTCCGTTGTTGTCCAGACTACTAAAAAAATGCCCGTACATCCTTCGACCTCTCCCTCTCATCGTCATCATCATCAGTTGATCGTTGCCTTTTGGGAGCCCTGTATTATGATTAGTGCTGTTTGTTTTAATTTCGCTTGTTGTTCTTTTCTTCCGTCAGCGATGAGCTAAACTTCCTCCTGGTTAGAAGCTTGCTTGCAACTCTACAACTTTCGGTTAACAGTTGGTAGGCATGGTTTACTGCATGCTCTGAATTTCCCGTTGCTCTTTCCCGTTTTCTTTGTTCTAAATTCATGTTTTAGCTTTTTTTTTTTTTTTGCCTTGCTGGCTTTTTTTGGAATCTTCTTCTTTTTCCTCAGTTAGGAGATCTTCTGCTGTACATGACTGTTGAAATATCTTGCTCTCTTGTAGCTTTTGTTCTGTTCCTATTCTGCTGTCAGCTCCTCCTTTTTTCCAATTTAGGTTAGTGTCTTTTGTCGTTCTTTTCTTCGTTTGCATTTTCCAAAATTGTTTGCTGCTGTCTGGTATGCTCTGCCTTATGCCACGATTGCTTTTCACTTGTTTATTGCTTTTTTTCTAAAAAAACAGCAAGAGATCCTATGCGCCTTGGTGTTACTGTTTTATATTGGCTAAGGTGTTCCTGCTACCGTGTTTGGCTCAGGTAATGTTACTTCGCTCCTCACTTTTCTCCCTTGGCTTTTTTTTGCATGTTCTTGCGCCGTTACCTTGTTTACTTTTAGTATCTGTTGGTGTGTTTTCTTATGATGGACCATGCAGCCATTTCCCGCTCTTGCATGCTTCTCCCTTTGTGCCCTCCTTGGTCATCTGTAGACTCTTTATTTACTGGTTACTGCTGTTTGCCTTCTGTTGCCTATTCTTCTGTTGCGTTAAACCATGCGTACTGTTGCGTTAAACAACTTTCATTGCCTTGTTCCTTATTGTTAATTTCCATCTTGCCATGCTCGCTTGATACCGTCGGTTTGTTGGTTCCTTGTTTAGTAGCTGGAATTAGATGGATAGAAATGCCTTGCGCCGAAAAAAATATGCAGAAATGCCGCCTGCCAAGAAAGCGGAATTTCTGCGTTCTCTGCGAGAAGCTAGAGCTGCGAAGAAAAAACAAAGTCTTTCCTTCCCTTGTGCTCAACAGATTCTGCCTTCCTGTGTGGAGTCTTCTATTTGTTTGACATATAATCATGATAAACCTTCTGAAACCCATAATTACATTCGTGTCCTTTCTAATGCACTACAAAATGGAGAATGCTTGGTTTCAGTCAACAGTGTTATTACAGATGCTCGCCACTTGCCTTGCATTCCTTCTCCTGTGTCTAATCCCTCCAACCATCATGTTTCGTCATCTTCTAGAAAAAAAATAGCTTCCAGTAATGCACCATTCCGTAACAAATGTATTCCTTTTTTTAGTGTTTTCTTATTCTTCTACTTGGTTTGGGCTTTTCTCCTTCACATCATTCTTGCTTTTTTGCATTCCTATTGATTGCTATGTACTCTGTATTGCTGTAGAAGATTAACTCTCTCTTGTTTGCACACTGCTGTACTTCTGGTCAGTCAATGTCTTCTTCCTAGGCCTTCTCAAAACGCTTGGAAGTTTGCAAGCCTTTTTTATTGTTAATCCAATGGTGTCTTCTTCCTCTCGCCTTCTCCTGTCTGTATTTTCCACAATAGACAATTTTGTTCCCAGAATGTTGTCCTATTAGTGAAAATAAAATTGTCCATTACCAAATGCTTCCAAAGGTTTGGCTTTCCTTTGGTCCAGTCCCTCTCTTAAACACTCCTTATTGAGTCCTCTTTATTAAATTATAACTTGCAAGCGAATTGCTTCCCTCTTTACCTCCTCAACATTTTATACTCTGCATTGAATCTTCCCATGCAAATCTCTTTGGGCTGAACTGCTCATCTTGTTCGCTTTTATCATCCACAGAAACCTCTTCTTTTCCAAGAAGAGAGTTTAATCAGCCTCCAACAAACTGTGTTCGCACAGGAAGGAAAAGAAATAGGAATGATTCCCTTGATCTATTGTCTAGCCAGAACCATTGTAGTGCGACCGTCGTTAGAACAGAGAATGCAGGTTCGGTTTTGTTTCTTGTTTAGCTGTTGCCATCTTTGCCTTCCGTTCTTGCCTCTTTATACAAAGCTTTAACTCGACCTACCTGTCAACCATATGCAAAAAAACTTACAGGAAGGAAACGCAAGCGTGGTCAGCCAAATCTCTCTATTGTGAACAACATTTCTAATGTATCTTTGGTTTTACCTGACGCTCCTCCTTGTGGCCATTGTGGAGCCAAAAGATTCCATTTGGAACCGCCTACTTTTTGCTGCTCTGGAAGAGAAATTTCCCTTGTGGCTCCTCCTATGCCTTATGATTTGAAGCGCTTATTTATTGGTAATGACGAGGAAAGCTTCCATTTCAGAAATAATGCCTGCACTTACAACAATAACTTAGGCTTTACATCATTTGCTGCTAAATACGATTCTGAGCTAACAAAGAACATGAAAGGTGTTTACACCTTCCGTGTTCAGGGTCAGGTTTATCATTTTCTAAATTGCCTTCTTCAGTCAAATGATAGAACATCTGGGATTCAGCTTTACTTTTTTGACACTGATGAAGAATTAGCAAAGAGGATTGTTGCCTCTGATAAGTTGCGAGAAAGCACTTTAAGACTCCTTATGCGCATTCTTAGCGACAATCCTTATGCTAAATTCTTCAGAAATTTAAGGCATATTCCAAACATTGACAACCTTAGCATTGTGCTTAATTGTTATCCCACCCTTGATCAGCGAGTTTATAATCTTCCTTCTGCCTCCCAAGTTGCGGCTATATGGACTGAAGATCAAAATGAACCAGGCCATACGGGAGCTCATATTCAGGTTTATACGCATTCAAATAGCAGTTGTAGAATTAAACATTACTATAGCTGCTATGATCCATTACAATACCCTATTCTTTTCCCGCGTGGTGAATGCGGATGGCACCCTGGGATTAAAAGAGCCCAAAAAAGAAAGAGAAACGATGCTTCTTGTGAGGAAGATATCGATATTCATCCAGCTTCGATTACTTCTGCATTGAGCTTAATGGACCGTGAACAAAGAGGCAAGTTGTTTCCTTGCCGCTTCTAAACATTTTTTTTTATCCACTATTTTTACATTATAAAAAAATCATCAAAATAAATGATTACTCGTGCTTTTTCTCTAGCTGCCAATCGTGCAAAAAATGAAGAGGACACGGTGTCAGCTAGAGAATACTATTGTTACAGATTTCAAATGAGGGACAGTGATGATTCGATGTTGTTGCACTCACTTAGATTGTTGCAACAGTATGCAGTGGATGGTTACGTTAAGATTGAGACTTCTAGGCTTGACTTTCATAGAAATCGGCAAAACAACATTCGTTCGGAGGCCCTCCAAGGAATCCTAGACAGTATTTGTATAGGCCAAACCAGTGCATTTAAAGTACCATGAGAAACCTCAGGATAGGCCGGATCTTCTAGCTAGAGTCTTTCGGGCTAAATTTGAATTGCTTAAATCAGAAGTTGTGAACAAGCAAATTTTTGGTGAAGTCGCAGCATATGTCTATGTGATAGAGTTCCAAAAACGTGGCTTCCCACATGCTCATCTGCTATTAATTTTGAAGCCTGAATACAAACTCCTAAATCCCGAGTCATACGATAGAGTAGTCTCTGCTGAAAAATCTGATCGTTCTAAGCACCCTCATCTATATTCCCTTGTTGTAAAGCACATGATTCATGGTCCTTGTGGCGATCTCGTTAGAAGTTGTCCTTGCATGAAAGATGGATATTGTAAAAATCACTATCCTAAGAGCTTTTGTTCCCAAACAACTCATGCCGAGGATAGCTATCCGCAATATAGGAGAAGAGATGATGGTTCAAAAATAAAAGTCCGAAGGCATACTCTTGATAACAGATGGGTTGTGCCTCATAGTCCCTATCTGTTAGCTACATTTGACTGTCACATTAATGTAGAAATTTGCTCAACTGTTAAATTGGTGAAGTACATGTATAAGTATGTTTTCAAAGGACATGATTCTGTCAATTTTTGGATAGTTTCGCACCATGCTCCTGATGATACTGATGAAATAAAAGAATTTCAGCAAGGTCGATGGATTTCGCCCCCTGAGGCATTTTGGCGCATCTTTGAATTCCGCTTAAGCGAAATAAGTCCAGCAGTCTATACTCTTTAGGTACATCTTCCGGACCAGCAGTTTGTTTCGTTCGACAAAAATTCAGACCTGCTGCAATTATTGAGCAAAGTTGATTTTTCAAAGACCATGTTAACTGAATTTTTTTATATGAACAAAACAAATGTGGTTGCACAGAATCTTAATTGCCTTTACAAGGATTTTCCTCAACATTTTGTTTGGTCTCCTAAATATAAGAAATGGTCTGAAAGGAAGCGTCGAAAAGTGATAGGTAGAATGGTTACTGTTAGTCCAGCAGATGGAGAAAGATACTGCCTTAGACTTCTTCTGAATCATGTTCATGGACCGACTTCCTTTGATCATGTTTTGACCGTTGCTAATCAAAAGCTGAATTCCTTTAGAGAAGCTGCTTTAACATTAGGACTTTTGCAATCTGATACTTACATAGAGGATACGCTTCAGGAAGCTGTGACCTTTCAAATGCCGGCATCCTTAATATTGCTATTTGCTATTCTGCTTGTTCATTGTTCTCCTATTAATCCTTGCCTGCTGTGGGAAAAATTCCGGCATGAGCTCTCTGCAGATTATCAGCGGCAATCCTCATTTTCTGTCCTTAATGCTTCGGAGATCGAGACAAGAGCTCTACAAGACATTAACAGGTCGTTGGAACAAATGGGGAAGCGAATTACTGATTACCAATTAGTTCCACCTGGTTTTGACTCTTCTGATCGTCAACGCTTGACAAAGAAAATTGACAACGAAAGAGCTTTACATGTTGCTCCAGAAGATTTGTTAATGTCTCTCAAGTTAAATTACGAACAAAAACATGCTTATGACCTGATTCTTGCAGCATGTTTCTCTGGTCAGGGCAAGGCTTTTTTTATTGATAGGCCGGAAGGCACTGGTAAAACATTCTTGTACCGATCACTACTTGCTGCATTAAGATCGCAGGGCTATATTGCCATTGCTGTTGCCACTTCTGGCATTGCAGCGTCTATTCTTCCTAGAGGGAGAACAGTGCACTCAAGATTTAAGATACCATTGGACTTTTCAAAAAATAAGGCTTGTCAACTCAGCAAACAAAGCAGTGTTGCCAAATTACTTTTTGAGTGTAAACTTATTCTTTGGGATGAGGCATCAATAGCTAAACGAGAAACGATTGAAGCATTTGACGATCTTCTTAGAGACATAATGGATTTTGGTTTGCCTTTTGGAGGGAAGGTTGTCATTTTTGGTGGAGATTTTCGACAAACCTTGCCAGTCATTGAGCGAGCGACGAAGCAAATCCTCGTAGAAGCAAGCTTTCCTAATTCTGTCCTCTGGTCTAAATTACACAGGCTGAGACTCAAGCAGAATATGAGAGCCATGTTAGATCCTGCTTTCTGTCAATTCTTACTAAGAATAGGCGAGGGAAAAGAACTTGTAGATGCAAATGGCGAAATCACTTTACCGCCTGATATAGTTATTCCATACTACAATAAGGAAAAATCTTTAAACAGGTTGACGACTTGCATACAGTTATACTTTATCTATCTGATCCCTCTTTTTTCCCCTGCCTTTCATTCATTATAGCTATTTATAATTTTAAACAGGTTACTTGAAAGTGTTTTCCCAGATTTGCAACTGTATTCTAAAGATTCTTATAGCATGATAAATAGATGCATCCTTGCTCCCAAAAATAGCTCGGTTGATGAGCTCAACGAGTTATTAATAAACAGATTTCCAGGAAATCTTCAAGTTTATATCAGTTCAGATCGGACAGTTGAGCAGCGGCATCAAGGAGCCTATGAAGATTTTCTCAATTCGCAAAATTCAAAAGGCCTTCCTCCTCACAAGCTGCTGCTAAAAGAAAGCTGTCCTATTATGCTATTAAGGAATTTAAATCCTAATGAAGGGTTATGTAACGACACAAGATTATTGTAAACCCCGATGCAACCAAATACAACCAAAATACTCAACCAGACAAGTAGTCAAGTAAATACAATGACAAAGAATATAAGCAATTTTAAAGCACAAAAATAGAGTAACAATAAAGTAAAAGAAATTCAAACCAATCAAACTCCCAAACTTCTTCCAAACTTGGAGTTGAATCCACCAAATAGCTTCTTCAATTGATGGTAGTGCTAACCAACTTGTACAAGTGAAGGCTTACTCCTTCCTCACCCCAAACATACTTTGGTTGAGCAAAGAAATTTTACTACTCTCCAAGTAAACCCTCAACTAGCTACAATTGAAAACTTACCCACTCAATTAAGAACTACTTTATATAAGTGAGGCAACCTTTATCAAGGTTTTACCACTCCAAGTAATAGGTTCACTTTCACCAAGGTTTTACTCCTCCTAGAGAGTAACCTTCACTTGAACAACCTCACAACCCAACTTTCCCAACCCCTTATACAACCAACAAAGAATATTTCTACTCAAAGATCTCACTTGTAAGCTTGTATTTAGTGTTGACAAAAGTCTGTGTCTTCTTGTGTTTTGGGGTATCTATAGAAGGTGAGAAATGGCTCCAAAAGACTCTCCAACGGTCAAATATTAAATGCTGTCGAAACTAGCCGTTGGCCTGTCGGACGTCCGAACCATTTGCTCTGCGTCCGAACCATGCGTCCGAACCACCTATCGGACGTCCGAACCATTTGTTCTGCGTCCGAACCCTGCGTCTGATAGAAGTCAGAATGTTCAACTTTCATTCTTTTTGTGTCGGACGGCCGAAACAATGAATGAGCGTCCGATCCAAGCGTCCGAAGAGTATCGTCGTCTGTCGGACGTCCGATCCTCTATCGAGCGTCCGATAGTCTACGTCCGAACCTTCATATTTCTTAACTTCTCTTTGATTCAAATCTTTTCGATTCTCTTTTGGATCAATGACCTGTTCTAACAAATTTTTCACATAAAAATATTAGTCCAAATCTACATTTTGGTTTGTTAATCATCAAAACCAATAACTGATCAACCAAGGTCAACAATCTCCCCCTTTTTTATGATGACAAACAAAATGAAGATTTCTTTGATCAAATAAGTTCAAATAAAACTCCCCCTTAGAAAATGCCAACATACAAAGAAATTTCAATAAATCCTACTCCCCCTTTTGGCATCAATCAAAAAGCAAACTCCCCCTTTATTTTTCAAATCAAGATCATATTGAATGTCAAAACTTTCAAATGTACCTTCAACCATTTAGCACTTTTTGGATCAAATCTTTATGATGTACCTAAGTATGAGAAATTTCATTTGGTATTTTTTCTTTATAGGGTCCTTGGGAGTTAGTACAATATGATCTAGCAATTCACATGAATTTCATACATTTTCTCATATTTTTCTTTACATAGCAATCATTTTACATATGTCCAAATTGGCAACAAAAGTGACACATAATAGAAGTATTTTGTACATAAGTGGATTTAATGCAACTAATTTTCTTACTTTTTATCATAACAAACTTATTTGTGCCTTGAAAAGATTTGCTTTCTTTTGTTTGAGAAAACTTTTGTTTTTCATTTTGGAGAAACTCGTTCAAGTCATTAATTCTTTTCTTTAACAAATTTTGTTCCTCCAACATTTATTCATAAAAAATTGTTTTCTCTTCCAACTTCCTTTTCAAATTATTTTTGCAATCAAAAACACCTTTTTGATTTTTTAAATCATCATTTTCCATTCTCAAACATTTGTTTTCTTGAAAAAGTTTGGAGTTTTCTTCCAACAAATCATTTATTTTTGTTTTCAAATCTTTATTTTTAGTATAAGATTCTCTCAAACTTTTATGCATTTTAATCATAAGAATTTGCACATCATCATCTTCATTATCTTAATCACTAGAAGAGTGATAAAAATTTACCTCATCTTCTCCAAAGGCCATTGGTGCCATTTGGGCCAACTCTTCTTTTTCTCTTTTTGAATTGCATTCATCCCATGTAATTTTGCAATTTCCTCTTGAACTTCTCTTGTTGAAGATCTTCTTGAAACTTTTGATGTGAGGAGTTATATCATTGTCTACTTCCATGTTTTCATTACCCATGAAGGATGGGTTATCCCCCACTTGAAATGCTTTAAAAGCTATGCCTCTCTTATACATTCTTGCATTTTCTTCCTCTTGCACTTTGAATTTCAGCTTTAATTCATAAGAGGTTAGTGAATTCACAAGAGATTCAATGGACATAGAATTTAAATCCTTTGCCTCTTCTATAGCATTTATTTTGTTTTCCCATTCTTTTGGCAAGACATTCAAAATATTTCTATTTTTCTCACCCAAAGAATATTCTTTTCCAAACAATTTAAGATCTTGAATAATGTCACAAAATCTACTACACATCTTATCAACATTTTCAAGAGGATGCATTTTGAAAAATTCATATTGAGAAACAAGCAAAGATTTCTTTTGTTCTTTAATATCTTGGTTACCTTCATGAAATTCACACAATTTATCCCAAATATCTTTAGCTGATTTACAACCTTTAATTCTATTAGATTCATTTACATCTAATGCATTGCACAATATATACATGGCCTTGGCATTCAAAGAAAGGTATCTCTTGTCTTTTTCATTCAATTCTTGTCTAGTCTTTAATCTACTCAAATTAGTGGTAGAGTCAACTATTCTAGCTTCATAAGGACCATTTTCTACCACATACCATAATTCAATATAAACGGATTGTAAGAAAATCATCATTCTTTGTTTCCACATGCTAAAATGAGAACCATTAAACATAGGTGGTCTATCAATAGATTGCCCTTCTAAAAAAGAAACATTTATGGTTGCCATGATCTTTACTCTAAGCGGTTAAGCTTAATCTCTAGGAGACCAAGCTCTCATACCAATTGTAAACCCCGATGCAATCAAATACAACCAAAATACTCAACCAGACAAGTAGTCAAGTAAATACAATGACAAAGAATATAAACAATTTTAAAGCACAAAAATAGAGTAACAATAAAGTAAAAGAAATTCAAACCAATCAAACTCCCAAACTTCTTCCAAACTTGGAGTTGAATCCACCAAATAGCTTCTTCAATTGATGGTAGTGCTAACCAACTTGTACAAGTGAAGGCTCACTCCTTCCTCACCCCAAACATACTTTGGTTGAGCAAAGGAATTTTACTACTCTCCAAGTAAACCCTCAACTAGTTACAATTGAAAGCTTACCCACTCAATTAAGAACTACTTTATATAAGTGAGGCAACCTTTATCAAGGTTTTACCACTCCAAGTGATAGGTTCACCTTCACCAAGGTTTTACTCCTCCTAGAGAGTAACCTTCACTTAAGCAACCTCACAACCCAACTTTCCCAACCCCTTATACAACCAACAAAAAATATTTCTACTCAAAGATCTCACTTGTAAGCTTGTATTTAGTGTTGGCAAAAGTCTGTGTCTTCTTGTGTTTTGGGGTATCTATAGAAGGTGAGAAATGGCTCCAAAAGGCTCTCCAACGGTCAAATATTAAATGCTGTCGAAACTAGCCGTTGGCCTGTCGGACGTCCGAACCATTTGCTCTGCGTCCGAACCATGCGTGCGAACCACCTATCGGACGTCCGAACCATTTGTTCTGCGTCCGAACCCTGCGTCTGATAGAAGTCAGAATGTTCAACTTTCATTCTTTTTGTGTCGGACGGCCGAAGCAATGAATGAGCGTCCGATCCAAGCGTCCGAAGAGTATCGTCGTCTGTCGGACGTCCGATCCTCTATCGAGCGTCCGATCCTCTATGTCCGAACCTTCATATTTCTTAACTTCTCTTTGATTCAAATCTTTTCGATTCTCTTTTGGATCAATGACCTGTTCTAACAAATTTCTCACATAAAAACATTAGTCCAAATCTACATTTTGGTTTGTTAATCATCAAAACCAATAACTGATCAACCAAGGTCAACAATTAATATGTAGAGAGCTAAGTTCAAATATTATTTGTGCGGAGATTGTGTTTGGCACTCATGCACGAAAAATAGTCTTTATTCCAAAGATACCTCTTCAGACATCTGACAATGAAATGAATGGAATTCTGTTAATAAGAACTCAATTTTCTGTCCGTCTTTGCTTTGCGTTAACCATTAATAAATCGCAAGGACAGACTCTAGATTATGTCGGCCTTTACTTGCGTGAACCTGTTTTCTCGCACGGACAGCTATATGTCGCACTCTGTAGAGCTAGAACAGCTGCTGATCTTAAGGTTCTTCTTGTTCCTGAAACGTTTGATGAGAAAAAGATTGACTGCAAAACTAGAAATATTGTCTTTAATGAGATTTTTGCTTTGCTTCAGCAATAAAGAATCTGTCTACTTTAACTATGCATTAGAATGAGGTGCATATACAAATTTATGTTTCTTCAACCAATATATTGTTACACTTGCCTTATTTATTTGCATTCGCTTATCTGTGTTTTTTCCTTGCTGCAGAATGACCAACCTACTACCTATCCGAGACATTGTCCCTTTCATGAAGAATTGGAGTTGTCTCATCACTGTTCAGGAAAAGCAACAGATTACTGACTCGAAGGGCACACCAACAAAAAAACAACAATGTATCTTTTATGATGCAGAGGTTAGCAGCCCTTTATACCCACTTTTTTACATGCAATTGTTTAACAACATATTTCTATTTCTTTGACTGATTGTTCACCTGACAATTGTGTGCCCCAGGGATCAAAAGTTGAAGCAATAATCTTCAATGATGATATTCCTAAAATGAGTCCACTTTTGCGTGTTTATAAAAAGTACAAGATCACAAACGCTGAAGTGAAGCCTATCCCAGCAAAATTTCAAACAGCTGACATCACTATCCAATGGGTCATCAGCACTAAAACCATCATTGAAGAGCTAAATGGCGCTGATAATGATATCATGCCTGTGAATTTTAACTATACAAAGTTTACTGATTTAGTGCATCATATGGATGACAAGAATAAATCAGTTGGTACATCTCTTAAGAATTAATATTGCTGTGCTTGCTGCGTTATTAGTTCCTCTTCCATTATGCTGGTTCTGTTTTTGCAGATGTGATAGGCATTGTGATGGCTGCACTGGGCAAGAGGACATTAAATAGAAGCTCAAAAGAATCAAATGTTCAAAAGTTTGTCCTCCTTGATGAAGAGTAAGTATCTTATTTCTTATCTTAATCCTAGATCTCAATTAAGTTATTTCCTATTTATTATTACTTATATTGATAATGATTACAGATCACAAACTGTATTGCTATCTTTATGGGATGACTTTCTTGCTAATGAAGGACAACAACTACTGTCTAACCTTCACAGCTATCCTGTCATTATCGTGCGCAGAATTAAAGTGAATAATTACAAAGGTACTTTTTCCTTTAATGTTTTTATGTCTTTCTTGTACACACTCTTATATATACCTTCCGCAGAATCAACAAGATGACATTAATGTTTATTCTATAGGAGTTGCATTGGGTACTTGGTTTGATTTTGTCATACTTGTTGATCTGCCTATATAGGAAGCAAGGGAGCTAAAAAACTGGTATATTGCATTCCAATGGCCTATTTTTATCTCATAAAACAACAACTATAGATGTTTTTTCCTTTTTTACATACTTCCTGCATTTTCCTTCCTTGTGCAGGGCGATCAGAAATTCTCAAATCATTGCAGACGTTCTTGCCAAAAGAGATTACATGAAGTTCAATCCTACAATTTCTCTGAAAACTGATCAAAAAACTACTTTGATCTGTAACGTTAACCCATCACAGAAGGTGTTAAAACAATTTCTCCCTATTTCCCTTTACACTTCGCTGCCGCCCAACTTACATTTTTTTCCCTTGTGCTTATTCATATTGCAGACGACTTGGGTGAGAGCACGTTTCTACTTTGAGCACATATTCCAAAAATATTGGTATATGAGTTGCAAGAATTGCTATCGAGCCACGGCAGCAGATTATCAAGTTGAATTTACCTGCAACTCGTGCAAGGAGAAGCAACCAGCTGTACCTAGGTGCTCATTCATAAGTGCTTGTTATGTGATTCTTTCTGCATTTTGCATAATGACAATTTTGCCAATTACTGATTCCCTGTATATTGATTATTTTTTCAGATGTCGCTTTGATGTTGATTTAGTTGATAACAGCGGAGCTATACCAGCTTCCATTTTTGGTGAACTGGCAGAGAAACTTTTAACGTTCAGCTCCCTTAAAGCAATGCAGCATTTTAATGAGATTTTATTTTGTCCCATAACACTTGTTCACGGGCCTCTTATGAATCTGCTAATACTTTTTCCCCCTTCTTGTTCCCAGAATGTCGAACTCCCTCTTGACCTTGTTCATGAACAGCTGAAATCAAAGATTTTTCTGGTTCATATAAAGCCTGTGCAAGCACAACTGGCAGACGCTAGGCAACGTTATACAGTGATATATTACTATGAAACTGGTGATGGTTCCAATTCAACTGAGATAACAAACGAACCAAAGAATGATTTGACGTTGCTTAATGACCAGTCTCCGGCGCTGCAACTAATTGATCCAGGTAAATAAACACATACTTTGAGTTTCTAATCAACAAACATGTTTTCCCTGAAATAACTTATATGAAATGCAAAATTTACTTGCTACAGAGGAAAATACTCTAGCTTCAAAGATTTGCAAGCGCCTTTCTGAAAAGTTCGATGAAATAGAGAAACTAAACGACAGCAGCTCCCTAGATGAAGCCACCAGCTCTGCTAAGAAATCAAAGCTAAACTAGATCAGAACTATTCATCTTCTGTCTCCATAAGATAGATGCACCTTACAAGTGATTTGCACTGCTGCCTTTTGCTAAGTTTGTTACAACGATCGTTATCTCTTCATGCACACTCTTCTTTTGTCTGTACGTATCAACAAACCAGCTTCTTTTGATATATCAGAATGCTTTCAACATTCAGCCTTATTTGCTATTAACTCTATGTAAGACAGATTATTGCGTAGTTACTATGTGATGCTTCCTTTTTTTGTTTAGATTACACATTCTGCTACTTATGATGCCAACTTATTTACTCATCGCTATTATCTACTGGGTTGCAGTGATTCATGTATTAAGAAGATCAAAATATATATATGATATATATGTAGCAATGTCCTTTATAAGCTTCAGTTCAACAAACAAACCTCAACGCTTAATACTGTCCTATTCCAGTTCATGTACTTATACTCATCAAAAAATTTATGGCAACCGTTAACAATGATAATAGAAGTTTTGTTTTCTTTTCATTAAATATATATACAATCAGTTCTTTATTCATTCAGTACAAGATGTCCCAAAATTAAATAACGCACAGTAAAACAAAAAACCTGCAACTCTCTACAAACAACCACCTTTGCTGTTTACTATTTCCTTTTCATTCACCCAGTTAACAGCCTTTCTGATGTATATACTAATAGCGCCATACCAGCTTTTTCTCCTGTTATCTTTTCTTCTTCTTCTTCTATCCCTTTAAAAGCACAGAATACATTCCCTACTGCATCAAGTTCACAGCAACCAAACAGCACCTTAAACAGAATACGTTCTCCTCAAATGTTGTTATAAAGGCCAGGTACATCTTTTCTTTTCTTATAAAACAAAGGCAATCAAACTATCTGTATATAAATCTTTAATCATATTTTGCTTGCTTTCATTTGCTCCATCAAACAATTCCACATTTTGCCTGCTCAGTCTCGGCTATTACTTGATCAGAAACAAAACCACATAATCATCCTCAGATTTAGAATGCAGAAATGTCATTGAGGAGGGAATCCATGTACCTGACTGTAAGTTTGTTGTACACTTTGGTCTACCAAAAACAGTTCACAGTTATGTTCAGTCACGTGGATGAGCTCGTCAAATGGGCTCTCCATTTATTGTCATGCTTGAGAGGTGAAGACAATTTTCTCTCTCACCTCCAGATTTCAAGATTTTGCAAAAAATAGCTGCTGTTGCTAACACTGAATTGTTTTTGTCCAATCAGTGTAGTTTGCCTCTTTTAAATTGCAGGGGAAACATCACACAAACGTATGACTTGTTTAACCTCATTAGGAGTGAATTATCAATGAAGGATAAAGTAGAAACCAGTGATCCTGAAGCTTGTGTTAAAAAATCTTGTCTTATGAAGGAAAAAGATACATATATGGTGGAGGCAGCTAAAGCATCAGTTGCTGCAGATTCAAGTGTTACCCTATACAGAGATATTGCGACAAACTCCCAGGAAACATGAATGTATGCTTGATATTATCAAATCTATACAGACGAAAAAAGTCTGTGATTAGGGGATGGTTTCTTGATGTAACTTTTTCTACCTTACTTGAATCACTAGTGATTCTTGTTGGCAGGTACTTCACTCCAAAGCCAATGTATCAGTACTGACTGGTTGAAGAGTCATATCAATGTCAATTGACATTGCCTCCAAATGCAGCATTTCAAACTATGACTGGCGCTCTTTGTAGGAATACTCTTTTGTCCAAACAGCTTGTGTGCTTGGAATCATGTAAAAAGCTGCATCAGATGGGAGCTCTCACTGATCATCTTCTTCCTATCAGTGAAAAGCCTTCCCAAAGTAGTTCCCACCCAAATTGATTCCCTTTGTTAGAATTTGCAGCTAGAATTATAAAACTTTTGTCAATTATTCTGTTACTTTTCTGGCTAGACATTTTGCTGCCGTTTACCTTTTTCCAGCTTTTCAATCTTTACATTTCAAGGACATGCTCATTACCCTCCAGTTACACCAAAAAATAACAATAACAATTTTACTCCAGAGTTATCTATTTTTACACACATTATTCAATAGATAAAACAAATATAATATCAATTATAACACGTACTTCTCTGCGCATCGACACCCTAAACTACTAAACTGCTGGTCCAACAAACAACCTGTTATATTTCTTGTTCTGTGATAAACAGTTGTTCCTTAGTAGTATAAATCTATAGAGCCTCTTCCATCTTCCATTCATTCTTTATATGTGCATGCCTTTGTTTTCTTCTTAACTTAACACATCAAACATCAGATTTGTCCCTCAGTTCACCAACAGGTTTTTCTTCTAATCTCTTTTGTTATCCATGCATAGCTGAAACTTACACACCTACATTCACCAACTGCTCTCATTCATATATTTATTACTTCTACTTCGTAAATAGCAGAGACTTCATGGACGAAACATCTATCATTTCTGTGGATTCCTCTCACGCCATAAGCAACGCTCCACAAACATATTGCTTTCTTATTACATGCAAGAATAGAGGACAGGTAATAATATTTTTCTGCAATTTAATAGCTTTGTTATTATTTATTCTTCAATCCACGTTTAAACATGAGCTTTCATTTTATCCAACATACAGTCTTTACCTGTTGAGTTTCAAATATTGCTCGCACAACACGATGACAATACAATCACCTTCAGACATGCCTTGCACAGATGGAATATCTCAGTCAGAAATAACTACTTTGAAGAAGGATGGATAGAATTTTATCAGGACAACATTATCAAACAACATGATATGTTGTTGCTCCGCCATGGCGGATATCTAATTTTTGATATTATTCATTTCTGCGAGCTCAAAAAACAAGTGTATCTCCGATGGACAGTTTCCCTGCCAGATCTTTTCCATCAGCAAAGCAGTATAGGTCCACAAGCTACGTTTACCTTTCTAATTTAAAATTCAGTATATACAACTTACTGTACCTTACAATATCATTCTTTCATCTTACCAGATCCTGCCTTCTTATCACTTCATCGGCAAACTGTTTCGTCATCGCTCAGCCCAAATTTCTATCAAGATTTGTCCAATTCAATTTGCTTTTATCAACCATTTGACTCAGCATATCCAAATTCCTTGGTAACAATCTTTTCTGCCTACCGTTTGTAAGCACATTTTCTTTAGACAAAATAATTTACTCTCCTGGATAAACTGACTTACATTCTCTTATTTGTAGAAACTCCCTCGATTTGTCCATCACTTTCTAAATGCTGAGAGAACTCCAACTATAGTTCTAAAAACTGGCCACAACATCACTGAGGTTGGGATAAAGGCCAACCGCCTGAAACGAAATTGGAGAAAATTTGTTCTGGACCATCATCTACAACATAATGACACGCTTGTCTTCATTCCAGAATCACAAGCAAACTTTGCCGTTTTAATTTTTGATAGTAATGGAGTTGAAAGGTTTTTCCTTGGTACAATATTTTCTCGCTGTATTTTTATGGTGGACGAATATCCACTTACATATCTAATGCTCAATCAAATGTATAATTAGCTTATTCTTAGCGTGTTTCTCCACAACAAAACTCCTTTGGTTTTCAATAGCATGCATAGCCAACATTTTATTCTGCACACGAATATATTCCCCTGCTACAAAAGATGCTCAGATTCCTGACAATGGAATGAGTTATCCCAACCAAACATCACGCATGACCCGACACTGATCAACCAAACTTTTCTTTTCTGCCTACACTACTCCTTTACTGTGCATTTAATTTGCAATATGTAATTCTATGTTGCGGTACAATTTCATGCATTCAAACACATTCCCTTCTTTTGATTAACTTAAATTATAGTATTTACTAATTCGCTATAACAGATACCACAATTTACTAATTCCAAATCATGAAAATTTCCCATTTCGTTTTGCTCGCTCTACCTATTTTGTGTGATAAAAAATAGTTAACTCTCTAGCTCCACAGTGATCACTAAATGTTCATCACAACTAGAGCTAAACAGCAAAAAACTTGTTCCACAGAAGGCTAACATGAAGAAAAACAAGTATGACAGTCCAGGCATTTACGAAATAAAAAAACAAAAAGTGCATGATGACCGAACAAGATACAAGACGAGAAAATCAGTGCGTACATTCACGCTCAGATGCAATCCACTGTGCTTCTGCAATTCTTACAACTTACTTTGAAAATCTCTACCAAGCTAAACATCTTCTATTCTATTACTTTCCTACAAAAAAAAGGCACTTAAGGGATCCTCATCTTAGTTGACACTTCAGATGCTTAAACCTGTCATTAACCTCTATAATATTGTTTGATCATGCCTTTCCACCTTTATTACTGTTTCCATTGAATGTACTGAAAACTTTTTGCTTCCAATAATCCTGCTCACTTTTATTCGATCTCATTACATGGATGCAGAGTTAATAATCCAGTTCTTCTACTCCAAATGCTTAAATGATTGTTTTTTTATTTTACTTTACACATGCATAAAAATTATTCTACGTAATATAATACCACATTCAAAATTCATCAATGCCGATATTCAAACACTCAAAAACAGCAGCTATGCCAATCTTTTGAAAAAAATTACAGCAAACAACATCAACAGCGAATCTCTGAACATATTCTTTTTATGAACATTTTGTACTTTTCACTGCCTAACAATGAATTCACGTGAACCTTTCACATTCTGATCACTTTATCAGCAATAATAGTCCTTACTACAGCTGTCCAACTTTACCTATGGATCAAAATGATACCATGCATATCAATCTTATTACATTCAATAGTTTTATGTTTTACACTTATATTAATCCGTCTGTGTTGAATTCGTAAACATTTTACCTTTCTATGCATTCCACCAACACGTGTTACAACAAAACAACAACATACAAAACTTTCCTTCCTCTAATTCTACTTTTAGCAACAACATCTTGCTTCTCTTCACCTTCATTTCCCCTCGTTATCATCTTAAATTTCTTTCCTTTCAGTTAAACTTACACATTTCCTTGCTGCTCACCATCAGGTTTACATTATTTACCTTTCAAATCTTTTGTGCATACACTGCTATACTTCCTTGAATAATTTCTCTGCTTTCTACTCTCTGCTCACTCCAAAGTCCGGCTTTATTTCTTCTACCTTCTCTGTTCTTGCTTTTATCAATAATAGTTATTACTCTTATTTATATTTTTTTTGCTAACTATTAAACTGATACCCATCAACCTCCATATCCCTGCAGGTCCTCTTCATCCTTTTCTTAGCTTCGAACTATATCCTTTCTGCAGCCCTTTTACCTCATATAGCTTACACTTCGCCTATTTAATTTTTCTCTTTTCTACTATAAAATACCTTGCAATGGAACCTGTAATAATCCCTCTATCCGCTATTCATCCGCATTCATCAAACTGGACAGTTGCTCTCCAAGTTATTGAAGTTTCTCAAACAAAAAAAAAATCCCACCTCCAACAAAACTTTCGCACCTTTGTGCTTGCCGATTCCCAGGTAACACATACTTAATTTCTTTTTTACCTCATGTCTATTTACTTATATCATAATACCTTTTAACAATTGTTAATATCAGGGTGTAAAAGTTAATATGCATGTTATCGGGAACATGATTGATCAGCTTGCTGGATTACTGTTACCGTTAAAAAAATACTATATCTCTGGAGCTATTGTTCACCAACTACATGATGGTTCTACTCCTACCGAATATCCATTTTACTGGATCGTTACTCAGGCTACATCAATTCGCGAAATTGAAGAACTCGATTATCCCTCTCTTCCTTTACATTTTCGTTTATATCCGTTTACTATGCTAGACGCCGTTGCTGATACCGAACAGTTAATAAGTAAGTTAATCATCATGCTCTGCTTATTTTCCCACCCATTTTAATTCCTGAACAATTTTTTTTGATCTTAACACATTCACTTCTTTCGTTTTCCTAAGCTATCATGGCAGTTATACTTCATGCTCTGCCTAACAAAATTATCCCTGTTGAAGGAGCACCATGTGTACTTCGAGACTATGTCATAGCTAATGAAGAGTAACACATTTCATTACTAATTTAAATTCCACTTCCATTTTCCAAAATAGTACTCGTTTCCAACAATTAATTCTATTCCTTTTTATTTCACAGCATGAAACCTTTAATACTGACTTTGCGCGGAGAATTTGAAGAAATTTATGGCCCTACTATTGCAGCAGCAAAAGACCCTTTTCCAGTTATCATCGCCATAAGAGTCAAAGCTACAACAAATCATTGTAATCACATACTTCGCCTCTATTATTTTAAGTGTTTTCTAAACTTTTATCATTCCAAAAAAATATTTCCTCTGCCCGCTTTATAATTTTTACCCTCTTCTTGCCAATCGTATCAGATTTAAGCCTCTCAACTGAATCTTCCTCAGTGATTTTGATAGCTCCGATCGCTCAACAAGCAATGCATTTACAAAACTGGTAAAAGTTTTACCCACCTTGTGCATTAACATCGCCCTTATTATCTAGCAACTGACCCTTTTCGCTTTAATCATAGGCATCATACCCATGCTGATGTGCTAAGACAAATGCTTAATCAGAGTAGTTACACTAACCCTCGCATTCTTCTTCCTCCTGTAAACAATAATCGAATCACTCATATTGCTACTGTTCTTCAACAAGTAAACTCCCTTATTCAAAATTTAAATTTACATACAATATTCTTTTCATGCACTTCTCTTCTTCCTTTTTTTTTAAAGCTAGCTCTTTTTTTGTACCTTTTCTTTCTCAAAGAAACCAAGGACTGCCTGGATTCAAGGTATTGTGGAGCTAGATTGTGTACCTCTAAAGTTAACTTATATAGCTTGTTCCCTCTGTTATTATCCGAGCAAACTTGTAAGCAATTTGCCAGTTCCATGTCAACATTGCCGCTCTAACGCGGATTTGGTTCCTAGGTAAACATAATTATTTACTCCTCTTGCTTCCTTTCACAGCCGACTTTAATTGCTTTCATTTTCTAACTGCAAAACTACCTACTTCTTCATTGTAGAGCTCTCATTGCAATTTCACTCACTGATGCAACTGGATCTTTATGTGCTGCTGCTATAGATATTGAAGCAGAGAGACTCATTCAATATTCAACAGCCGAGCTATACTATTTACAACAGGAGGTAAAAACTAACACTTTTTTATACTCAATATTTTCTTCCTTCTTTTTTAAATTTATTACAATTTCCTTCCATCTATTTTTACAGCAGAACGTTGATCTTACTCAATACCTTGCGCGTACTTTACATGGAAAGCTGCTCATGTGCTACATTAAGCCCTCTCCTTCCAAATTCAAACCCATCAGACGTGCAGCTTATGAAATTATCACATCCTACGCAATCGATGAACTATTTAATGCTGAAAATATTAACATGAACAACCTTAACATCAATGGTTAACCTTTTACTTATTTTGCATACATTCCTGTTGCCATTAATGTGTTCTCTACTGTACGTATCTAATCATAATTGCTGCAGACAATAACTATATCTACTATTTTGTTATCTTCAGCTTTATATTCCTCCTTTATTGCATACTTATTTATTTTACAAAAAAATTGCAACTCTACATTAAATATCTGCGATTATCCCAATATTAAAACAAATATAATTGACCCAAACATTCAGATTATAATATTTCACAATTTCCAATTGATTTTTTCCTATACAAATAATTTACCTTAAATGACGTATCGACTTTTAATCAATACAAACCTAAAACCAATACGTATATAAACATTTAAGTTCTTCTAATTGACCCAAACATTCAGATTATAATATTTCACAATTTCCGAATGAAGTTTTCCTGTACAAAGAATTTACCACAAACGAAAAATCAATACGTATATAAACATTTAAGTTCTTCTCACACAAATTCTACAGGTTTCTGGGCAATCCTTAGACTTATACCGCGCATGGCGCGGTACCACCCCCTAGTTATACAAAAAAGAAGAAAAGATGGTGATTCACTAAAACCGTGGTTGGTTTCTCAAGGGTACATACAAACCATGGGAGTATGTGTATAAGCAGAGCTATGGTATTTAGCTATTCATCTCGTGATTTTAATTGTTCCAAATTGAAGGAATGATACTCTAAGATGTTTATAACAGAGGCCGAAACTTGCGAATCATCCAAATTGAAGTTTTCTTGACATTAGTCATCACAAAATTTATTCAGTTGATTTTCAGAGAAGAAACCCTTTCAAGCGCTGCAGACCAATAATCATATAGTAGCAAAATGAACGCCTATAACCAACCAGTCAGTCGAATCACGCACAGCCCAAATTACACTACTCTAAAATCGTAGATACGATAACAAACACAACACCTCCACTCACTCTTCAGTAGAGAATGTAGTAGGAATAGAGCGTTGATTGCCCAACTTGAGATGGTCATGGCCTGAACCAAATCCACTCGCTACCCAACTCAATAATCAACCTCCTCTTCCTTTCTCGCGTTTGGGTTTGGGCACAATCTTTGGCCCACAAGCTACCAACTTGGTTAACAATCAGCCGTTGACTCGGTAACACAATTCACAAACAACCAATTTTAACTCCTCCTACCATTTAAGCATCTAATCCTAATGGACCCAAATGTCTGTCTATGGTATGGTACAATAAGAGGTTCCATATATCCTTTTTTTTCCCAAGAACAAGAGCAAATACATAAGCCAGCCTAGAAAAATGTCATATCCTAAAACACGAGACGAGACAACATGGTACAAAGTAACAAAACAAAACCTAAATAGGTACTTCCATTTTTACAGGTACAATTGAAGTACCAACAGACTCGCCCTGAATCCAGTCCTTGGCGCATATCAGAGCTTCCACCGTCTCCGGTCGCAATGAACACCGGTAACGATCCATCTCTTTGCCCACAGTATCGAACACTGAGCCCACCGGCACGGTGGAGACTGGGATTGACAAGATATCACGAGCCATCTTTGAAAGGGTTGGGTACTTCATTCTGTTTAGCTTCCACCACCCTACGACGTCAAATTCATGAACCCGAGGCAGCAAAGACTCCTCCAAGTACTGATCCAATTCTGATTTTGACTGCTGGCTCGTCGTCTCCATGATGTACACATCGAAATCCGTGAGCCCAAGCCCATTTGACGCTAGCAGATTCCCTCCTTGCGGATCCTCAGCCTTCACGGTACCGTTATTTGCTTCTTCGACATACGTTGGGGTCAGTGGCAGCGGGAGCGCAACATACTCCAGGAACAGCTCGTGGATGCCCTCATCAACAATCTTTACGTATGTGGCAGCCTCTTCGTTGTAGATCTTGGAGAAACTGAATTCCACGAGCTTCATCTTGAACCTGGGATCCACGACCACAGCAATTGCTAATATAAAGCAGCAACTCTTCCAATACCTGTCAAATTTCTCTTGCATGGATTTGGTGAGGCTGCTAATGAAGGGATCCTCGCTTCCTGCTGCACGTCCAAGCTCCAACTGAATCTTCCAAGCTTCATGGAAGAATGTGTTTGTTGTCGGAACAGTCGGGACTGTCAGGAGGTTAGCCGTCTCAAAAAGGGGTTTCAGGTACGTGCACAGAGTCTCCACCTGCTTCCAGTCTTCCAGTGACGGTGCCTCTTTGTAATCAGGGTCTGAAGTATCCAGACATGAGAAAACTTCTTTCAGTTCACATGCAGCCAACAGCATTTCATATGTTGTGTTCCATTTAGTTAGGTCGTCGATGGCTAGAACTTTTGTGCTAGGCACTTGAAGTTGCTGCTTGAGCTCAAGAAACTTCTCCTCGTGGGATTCTGAAGTTTTCACATATTTCACACTGTCTCTAACTTTCTTAACCGTTCCGAACACAGACGTTAATGCATCTTGGGCAATGCTACTCAGACTTCTAGCAAGACAATTGCCCAGCAAGAGCTGACCATTGAGAACAAGAGGGTTCTTAACAGACAGTAGAGCTCTTAAATTATCAACTGCAGCATCACTCAAGGACTGATTTATGGTGACAGAGAATAACTTTCCCTCCATGCTCCAATCTGATAAACAAGCAGCAACTGCATGGCTGAAAGCAGCATCTGAATCTGGATAAGGTTCCATGATGACATTGAGAAGCCTCCTGTGCATTTTCCACTCACTATCAATAAAATGCCCACTTAGAAAGACATAGCCTAGTCCTCGGCAAGAAGACCACATATCCAGGGTGAGGCAAATACGTCCTGCCATTGCTTCAATCACCTTCTGAATGGACTGTTTTTCCCTGAGGTAGGTTGCTACACAATCCCCTTGGACAGTGTTGAAACTCACCATATCGAATCGAGGCTGAAGATTCTGAACAAAAGCAACAAAGCCTGGATGCTCAACAATGTTAAGGGGGTAATCATGCATGATTATCATCCTAGAAATCTCATCACGGCAACGGTCAGGATCAAATGAAACGTAAGGTGCTGCAGTAGTTCTGTAACGACGTCTTGGAGTATCAGTACCTGCCCCATATCCACCAACTTTTGAAGGTGCACTAAATGGGCTGGACTGATTTTTCTCCTGATTACGAAGGACAACTGGGCAGGTTCCTTTAGCAATGTGGCGTTTAAGATGACTAGTGCCTGCTACTTTTGAGCCCGTACTGTATGCGAATGATTGCTTGCATTGCTTACAACATGCCCTTCGACAACCAGCACCAACTGTTTCAATGGTGAAGTGTTCCCAAACTATAGACTTCTTCTTTCTACGCTTGTTAGGTTGAGTTTCTGGGATGCTTGGTGGTGTTTCTATATTGTTGGGCTGTGGCTCAACTGGGACAATCTGATTGTTTGCAGCAGCAGTAGGCATCTCAACATCAGCGGTGATGTCAGTGGTCACATCAGTAGTGATATCGGTGGTCATATCAGTGGGGATATCGGCGGTCATATCAGCAGCCGTATCAGGCTTGAAATCAGGGGCTGGTGCATCAACAGTCGGGGTTGACATCTTGAGGCCAAAAGAAGTTAAATTCTACTGCAGGCAGGATTATTCCAAAACAGAATACCTGGAAAATGGAACAGCAACTGCAATGAAGAACGAGACTCGATGGCCGACAATACATGAACACATAAACAGAACATGTGAGGTAGAGGTTACACATTATTAAAGAAGGTTGATATAAAAGAATGCGCATGAGAATAAAGGATCCTTCATAAGCACACACCAGTGCGAGGGCAAACCTAAAACCATGAATAATCTCAATTCATCTAAAATAAAATATGTGGACTCGAACAAAAAGCCAAAATAGTACTACTTGCAATGTGTGGCAAAAGAAAGACCCCTGTGCATAACCACGACAAACACAAAGCATAAGTGGCATAATCTGTGGAAGAAAGTTGCACTAACAGACTTGACACATCATTATAACAAATCTTTAACATGTTTAAAGTAGGAAAGAACCCATAAAGTGCAGGAAAACATAGGAAAGAACCCATAAATGATGCATGCACAAAAGCTTTTCAATTCCAGGGAACGATAAAAATCATCTGTGCCCAAGGCATCAGCAGTATTTCATCTGTGCCCTGGTCAAAGCTACAGTCTTCCACAAACGAATGCCCCATATTTAGGTCCAGGCATCACGCTTATTACCATTTCTCCCCCACCCTACTCCTATTGTTAAGACAACACAAAGACAACACCTTTGATAAGTGAAGAAAAACCTAACAAGTGAAGCTGCAGGAAATAAGCTACAACACAAACATCTAGTATCAAACAGTCGCCTTTTTTTTTTTTTTCCCGTGGTGGGGGGAAATAAGAGAAGAAAACGTCCAAGGCAAAATTGATTGGGCAACGGTTAATTTACTTAAAGAAAAAAAATTTCAGATGACGAGGCCACCTTCCCAGTGATACTAGTAAAAATTTGTCCCCCGAAGGAAAACAAAATATGTTATAGCAACTGTTAATAGACTCGAATGGATCCAACCATCTCAGAAAAAGAATGGGCTGTGCCTTCTATATGTGGTAGTGAAGTGTTAAGTGTGCCGCCACAACACCAGGTCCTGGAGTTCTCAGGGCCCAGGGCAGGAATAATATTTAATAATATATTGTTTATGACAAAACAGACCCTCGCGGACAGAATACGTTACATGGGCTAAAATCACGGCCCGTTACTAAAAAAGGTCACGAACAGGGTTAAAAAGGACATTCTGTATTTGACTGGGCTAACAACAGGTCAACAATCATAGACAGAAGCAAAAACAGATCTACAGATGGGCTTCAACAAAGAATCTAAAAGAACAGCCCAGAAAATACTAGAGACCCCCCAAAGCAAGAAAGAACCACATGGTTTTGGTTCTTCATCAGTGCCTAAATAGACAAAGTCAAGACGAAACTCCTCTCTTGGACTGGTCGGACTCCTCTTTCTTCGAGGAATTCATCGGGCTACTCTGGTAAACAAAGTAATTAAATGATGCTACAACTGAGGCGGGGAAAATAAATTTGAAAGATGGAAAAGGAAAAACAGAAGTTCGCAAACCAAAATACCAGACGCAGAAAGGGGGGGGGGGGAATGAAAGAACTCTTGATCAACTCTGTAAATCATCTGCCAAACAACATAGGAAGACGATACCGTACAACACTTTTATCAAACATGAGAACCAAGAAAAAGAAAGGAAATTGGAGAATTAATGAGAACAAAAGGTAAAATCGGTTGAATCCACCGACCAACGAAAAGAAAATTCTAATGAAATCACAAGAAAACGGGACAGAAAAAATGAAGAAAATAAGCGGTCAGATTTCCGCGTTTTCAAGAAAAAGAAGGGAAAGTTCAAACCTGCACAAGAACTCGTTTTGACAAAGACCCAGATGGAAAAAACTCGATTTTGAGGGGAACCCAGGAAGAAAAGCGGTATCTTTCAGCAAATCTAGAGCTGAACCTACGATTTGCAGAGCCAGATCTAGGGTTTCTGCAGAGGGGGAGGAGAGAGAGAGGAGGAGGAGGAGCAGAGAGAGAGAGAGGAGAGAGGAGAGAGAAAGAGAGAATTGGGCTTGAACCCGAGCAATCCAATTGGACCGTTTCGGTGTGTTAATCTTTGGGGTTGGTTAGGACTAAAGAAGTGATAAGATTCAATGGGGGAGCGATACCACAATTAAAGTGTATTGGATATGGACTTTGAGGTCCATTTATTGTTCTACTGTGTGAAAGTCATGCGTGTGTAACTGTGTGTTCTCCTCCTGCATACAGAACAAAGACTACTACACTAGTCTACCAAGTAACGTGCTCTAATGGGATTTGTGAAAAGAATTTTGATGTGCCTTTTCTGGGATGGTTGGGCGGACCACAGCCCACCTTTAGGGGATGGTTAGGTGGACTTTTTAGAGGGACAAAGGGGGAGGACGGGGTGCACAAGGTGCGGGGAGGGGTGGGTATGGCGTACGTGTAGCCCACTGGAGTGCTCCGTGGACTCTATTTCTATGGTGGGGGCCTACACTTGGGGAAAGAATCTTTTTTGGAAATTTTGAAATTAGCCCAAGGCAAAATATTTCAGAGTCCTGGTGAAGATATTGAGGATCTGGACCATATATGATACTCCATATGGGATCATGGGATGTGATGCATCCTCATTTTTCACCGGGGAGAGTGGGTGGGATTGTCATTCCTTGTCTCTATCTCAATTCCAAGCACCATCACTCTCTTTCTCACAACTACAAAGGCCTTTTTTTTTTGTGGCAGGATCGGTTGGTTCATACACTTGAGAGATAGAAAAGATTTTTCCAAGGTCTTTTGGCGTGTATTAGGTGGGTTGCTGCTTGCTTGACCCCAAGCAAGTCTTCTCCAATTTAAAATCAAGGTTTTGATGCTACTGAAGTGTATACCATATGTTATTAATTAAAGACATGTTATTGTAAAGAGGGTTTTGATGGAGTCCAAAATTTTAGGCATACATTTTCTAAACATCCACAATATTCTCAATCAATTTAAAGGAAAGGGGGAAAAAAAAAAAAGAATTGCTGGCTGACATAAATGGTCGGCACCCAGCTTTGTTTGGACTGCATTTTTCTGAATTTTTTTGTAGAAAAATTACTATTGCGATTTGATATTTATGAGGTAAAAAGATAATTTGTCATTCGAAAACGTAGCAATTTTTCTTTGAAAAATTACAATCCAAACACACAGACTCTAAAGAACCGATAACAAAATAAGATTCCAAGACCAGTACCCCTTTTTTCTCATAACATAAAGTTGTACAAAAAAAAAAGGAGAGAGATTGGGGTATGGCTGAAGTAATAGACTCGTCAAGGCCTCGAGAGTGTGTGTGTCAATCGTTCGAGTAAGAAAAGAAACGATTTTTCTTGGTGTCGGTCCGTTCTGAGAGATGTGGCTTTCATAAAATTCACAAAGCATTTAAATCAAATCCGTGAAATTATTTGACCATAATCTGTATGCCTTCCTCCTCAGCAGCAGCAGCATCTGTTGCTCATAACAGCTTTAAGCACATCACTACTAAGGATAAATATTTCAAGTTTGTGAATCTTATTCTTGACAGGAAAGTCTATGATGGAGAAATAGTAGCAGCAGCGTATGATTTTGGATCACCCAACCAACTCTAAGGACATTATTAATATTGGTGGCAGCCGATGGTATTGGTGTCCTCGGACTAGAAGAAGCAGCGGTCATATATATAATGTATGGTCCCTCCCTTTAGCAAAAAAGACTTTGGGCTAATAAGGCTTTTGAGTTTTGAACGAACAAACAGACAAACAAACAATTCGGCCAACATTTAACCCGTAACGCTGATGTTCCTTCATGGATCACTTAACATTTCTTTTTCTCTCTTCTTTTTTTTTTTTTTTTAAATCGTAATAATGAGCTGGGGATATAGTGACTTAACAGACCCCATTACGTAATGAAAAAAAGATCTCAATAATTCTTCAGCCCAATGACTCAAAAGTTAGCCACAGCCACTACTCTTCTTTCAAGACATTGACGGAAAGGAAAGGAAAGGGTTACTTTCAAGGCGTACCGCTAGTCTATGAATAATGTCATCAGTTTATTATGCTTCCCAATAAATATGGATCGGTCATGACCATGCAGGCCATTAGAAATATGAGCATTTCCTCCAATGGAGAAGCATCATCAATCAGTAGTAATTCACTTGAAACAAGAATTATTTTTTTTTTCAAAAGATCATGAAAAGAAAAAATCTAAGCTTTGAGCTGATTGCACATTTTTGGACAAAGTTGATGGACAGTTGATAAAGAACATTAATTCTTAGTATGGTAAAACAGTACTATATATTCCATGAATTGAACATTTGCGCTAGTGATAGGACTACAACTGAAGCAATTCTAAGCTTAATGAACAGAAGATTTTGTTTGCATGAAATCGTTTTGTACCAAAAAATGAAAGAAAAAAAAGAAATCATTTGCACAACAATCAACCACCAAAAAATGATATTCTCTGTTGTCTACACCACATAATTTTTTGTTTATTGCGCACACTTTCAATAATCTTTTGTTGTCTACGAATGTCATTCTCCTATGCTTAATAAAATCATTTCATTTCCAACCCAAAGGAAAAAAAAAAAGACAGGAAAATTGAGCTTCAGACTTTCTTGTTTCCTCCCAACTCCCAAACTATTTTCCTCGGGGACCTCATATCGACATGCCCACTAGTTGACACCTCGCGGCTTTCTTTTAAATTCTTCATTATGCAACAAAAGGAAAACTACAACCTACATTCTATAATGTGTACGTGGTTCTTTTAAGATACTCCTGCCCTTTATTACTCAAAAGCGGACAAATTGAATGCAGGAAAACTACAAGGGCAGTTAATTGAAATGCAATGATGTTCACGATTGTTCACTTCCTAACAACAGGAAAATTTTTTTTTTAAAAAAAAGATACAAATTGAAAAGGGGAGAATAGGTCGAAGCAAAGAAAAGTGCGGCTCTTAAAAAAGCGAAGCAAGAGATGGTTGAACAGAGTGTCCAGAGTCCTGACTGGGGATGGGAAAGACAAAGTCGTGGGTTAAATCAAAACGACAGTGTGGTCTTTTAAATCGTTGTCTCGGGCATTATGTCTTTGTAGCATATATGCACACAAGAATTCCTTGATATGCTGACAAAAGAGTGCATGGTTCTCCATGCAATTGTCCCCAAAAGGTACACGTACTTACCTGCAATCCCCTACACCACCATTATTGTCTTCCCCGCAAATTATCTTGGATTCTTGCTCTATTCCAACGTACGAATCCCTTCCTTCCTTGGGCCTGCTTCAGTAGTTTGAAGTACTCTCATTCAGGATCCAATTCAACACAGAGCTTTGAAATTTTTTATTACATTATTATTTAGGTTTTTGTCAAGAATTGCTACGCTCCGAAATCAACCACGTCTAAAACATAAGAAGGGTTTTTTTTGGTTAAACAAACCAACAAGTTAAACGCCTTCGAAACTCGCATGACATTTTGTCTAAGATGAGGCTTGACTTTCGGCATATAGATCCGAGCTATGATAATGCCAAAGTAAATTCTGCTGCTGCCTCGCCTCCTCATTAACGAGTATAATTTACCGAGGTTGACTTTTTAAAGACTGGCCTCCAAATAAATGTATAGATGTCGACTAAACCAGATGCCAAATTAAAATGATCTAATCTCGACTCTGACGTTCAAAATTTCAGACTCTGGCATCTTTGATCTGCTATGGGATAAATGTGGCATGCGTTAGGTTCATTATTACGTTGACTTCCAATCGTTTGTCACAAACAAGAGCAAGACTCTTTTTTTCATCTTATCTTTTCTGCATAGGAAATTCTAACTATTAAGTCTACGCTTGGATTGCTTGTTTCCGTCGGAAAATATTATCGTTTTCCGTGATCACATTTCCCTATCATTTTTTTCCCTCACATAAATCAAATCGCTACAGTAATTTTTCTATGAAAAATGACGGAAAATGCAATCCAAACATACTGCTCTGAAAGTAATGGAGAGGCACTTAATAGTTCATGTACCTTTGCCAGTGATGGAGAGGGACTTAATCTATAATTATATATTGCTCTGAAAGTAATATACATACTCCCAATTACTTGTTAAGTAATCCTTCACTTGTCATTTCCCAATTGTAGAAAAATACACTCGTCTCCGTTTTACAGATGCCCGGCCTACTGTTTCTTCCCCTTCCCTTCTTTTACCATTGGCTAAAATAAATATGCCGTTTCCAGAAATTTTTTTGTAAAATAATCCAGACTATAGATTGGTTGGATTGAGGTGGATATGTTCTCCTGGCTGGAACACAGTTGCCGTCCTTCATCATGTACGGTTTTATTAATTAAAGGGAAAAAAATTAAAGGAAAGAAAAAAAAAAAAAAGGGGTCAGTGTCCATGCACCTTTGCTTCGGTGGCGTTATTGTTCCCTTGCTGCAGTCACAACATTATTAATTTTTTGTAACGGTCTTTCTTGTTCTGACTCACCGGCAGAGCCTCGCTGTGTTTACAATTACAGCCGCCCCTCTTCAACTTTTCAAGCATTATTAATATTATTGAAAGGGTTTTTTTTTAAAAAAAAAAAGAAAGAAAGAAAAGTTTAGCTTTTCCAAAACGTCCGTCAATTGCACACTTTTAAATATAAAAAAAAAAAAAAATGGTCTCTCTTCCCCACCATTGTCTCCCTAAATATTTCTGTAAGATGGAACCCTATAGCAAAAAGGTCTAAGATCTCCAACCGAAGAATTTTAGAGCTACAAAAACTGGCAATGTACAAGAACCCTATTGCCTTATTTTATT